ACGAGGTTCATCCTGTGCAGCAAGCTGGGACGTTGTAGATTCATACCCTGGTTTGCTGTGCAGACAAGCCCTCAGACTGCACCTGGCCACGTGACACCCCTCTGTGGGCACAAGGCCCACCTCTGTATGCACAGTCTGGGTGGTCCCAGCACAGTTATTCCATGTCATGGGCTTGTACGCAAAAGGGGGGCAAGTGCAAAATCTGGCAGGCGCAATTTCCAACACCCACTGAGGATGGAATGACAAAGCGTCTCGGATCAACACACACAGCAGAGATTTTCAAAGGCACAAATGGCCGTGAGATGAATGTCCATGGCGACTGTGCGCTTCACTGCCACTTATGCCTTTGAAAATCTCACCCAAAAAGCAAATGCAGCCAGTTCTCTCAGAACAAAGTCCGTGAAGATCCCTGCACTTTTCTACCTTCTTCTTTAGTCCCATCTGCACGGCCATGTGTTTCCGGAATACGATTAACTTGTCCAGCACATTGCATATAGTAAGAAAGGGATCACAGGTCAAATTTGCCAAAGATCATAACTCTCCCTGATGGAGAGACACCTTTCAAATCACACTGGTAAAGCAGGTCACAGGGAGGAAGAGACTCACAACAGTGTTAAGGTGAACGGCTAAGGAGAGCCTGGATTCTGAGGAAAGCTTTGATGCAGACAACGCCAACCGATATTCTGTGCCCCCATACATAACAGGGCTCCTCTGTGCCACTTGCCCAATGTGCTGGTGGGAAGAAATATAATTCCCTGATGAACCACAAGGCTAAAATTAGAATCCACTCACCCCTGAAGAATCACAGCTATAGCCAAAACGAAAGTAGGTCACACAATAGCTGGCTAACTTGATTTCCCACAGTCTCTAGCATGGTGTTCTCCCCTCTTGCCTGGCACAGCCTGTAAGTGGGGGGGGGGGGGGCGCGCCACACACACTTGGGGAAGCAGACACTCCAGTTTGGGGTGAAGCACTAATCCCTTGCTTTGGTGTTTAAACAAGTGCCTGGTTTTCCTCCTCCTGAATTCAAACAGATGGATCAAGGGATGCATTATCACCCCAAAATACAGATTCCAACTTTCCCTCTCACCCTGTCTCGGCTGCCTGGCTGGCTGTATTGCTGTGGGGCTTGGATATCTTTCTACTTTCTATGCCTTAAAAGACACACCATTTCTCTCCACCTCCACCCCCTTTGAATCAAAATACAGATGCTTAGCTCCCCAGCAACCCTGCTTTCTCCAGCAATTGACTGGTAGCCTCTCTACATCTCAGTTTGTCAACTTCCCCTGGTACTGAGCCCCCAAAGGAGTTAAATGCACACCTGAGAAAGGCAGCAGTGGGCATGAAAGAGAAAGGCAGCACTGGGAAGTAGGTGGGGGGAGACGCGGAATCTCCTGGTAGTTGTCTGTAGCAGGATCTGGGAGATCCCTATTCAGGGCAGCTGCATCGGAAGAGGGGTGAGCTGAATAAACACAACACAACCCCTTGTCCTGTGTGTTAGTAGAGAGCCAATTGCAAGACTGATTTGATTCATATGTCTGTGCATGTAGAATCCCACAAATGTTCTGGTCCCTCCTCCAGAGGCTGCACCAGCAACAGACGAGTGATCTCAGTTCACAGCCCTAGGCTGGCAGCCTGCTGGGCTATTAAAAAAAATTTTTTTTACCCAGGGATAAATCCATTAAAATGTGTCCTCACATTATTCTACATGGGATCCCCCAAAAGAGAAGAGAAGCAGCATCTGCCTTCCACATCCCAGCCGTCACGTGGACATTAACAGAGCTACATGTGGAAGAAGTATGTTATTAAGTCATCTGGAGTCGGACTTGACCTCCGTTTGATTCACATCCGTTTTGAACAAGCACATGCTACTGCAAAGGTTCATAGGAAAACCAAAGCCAGGTTTTGGGCAGGAATGAATATTAGCAGGATTGGGGTATGAACTGCAGAACACAAACAAACTGAAACCACAAACTAAGAACTGAAGCCAAGCCATCATGCTCAGCTGCTTCCAGTTCATTGTAACCATTTGCTCTCAACGGCACATTTCAGCTCACATGGTTCTTCACATTCTTTTCAGCACCATCCACTGAACACTTCAGTGACACCAGCAGCCCCAAGCAAGCTAGGTAGGCAGTATTGTAACTCGGTGCTGTTTGAATGGGACCTTGGCACTTCCAGCAGATGACACTGTTTGAGGGACAGTCCAGCTCTGCCTGCCCCTCCTGCCGCAAAAATCCAAGCACTGCATTTATACCTTCCACTGTGTACCTCGCAAGTACCATGAAAGAGTGATCCCTAGGATTGGAACAACCTTCCTGAGCCCTCAGGCCATGATGGTGCTCTGTCTTCTCTCCAGTCCTTTCTCAGATCATCAGTAGAACGTTTCAGTTATCCAGCTAACCATCAGACTGTGAAACAAAGACAACAAACCAATCCGCCCTGACCCATGGTTCCAACCAACCCAACGTGCTCAAAACCCCACCCAACAAGCGACGTCTGCCCCCACATTATTGAGAAAAGCTTACTCCACTAAGTGACTGCATGATCCTGTGGTCCTCATCTTTGTCTGCCCACTCCCTGGTGTTCTTGTCTTAACCTAAAGCCTAAGCAATTCGGGTGGGGATTTTGGCCAAGATTCTCCGAAGTGACTAGTTATGGTGAGTGCGCAACTGGAGAAGACTTAAAGAGGGTCAAGAGTTTTCACGAAGTGCTTACACACCTGGCGCCTGAAACCTAGGTCCCTTTAGGTTGTCTCAAGGCAGGCACGCACATTTCTAAAAATCTGGGCCTCTCTCTTTATACAGTTCCACACAGCATCATGCATATCTAGGTGTTTATACGAGTTATAAAGAATGACAACCATGCCAAAGTAATTGCTTTTCCTCGGAGTAGTGCCCAGGGCATGTAATCTTTAAACATCAGGCACCTGGAGTTCTGCAGCTCATAGTGAATTCAAAGGACTCGCAATTCAAAACAATTAGCGGCTAGTCACTTTCCTTTTATGCAGAATCATCCATTAAACCCAACACCTAAAACGAATGTGCTTGATTACGTACAAAAGGGCCCAGTTTTCTAATGTCAACGCAAAGCACCCAGCCAGATTCATTTCTCCTTCAACCCCAGTTGCAGGCAGTGGCCCTGTTTAATGAATTAGCAGTCAAGGAGAGTTACACACTGTCAGCAATTCACACCGTTTTATTAAAGTTTGCTGCCGCATTAAAATTCCACAGATTCAGCGCTGATTTGTGTCAATCTCCTTTCCATTCGCCTTGCCCCATTTAAAGTGTTCAGCACAGATCACACAGTCCTTTAAAAATCCTCTTCGCCCTTAGGCGCTCTAAGTCTGTTTTGCATAATCACACTCACGGTTTGCACTGGATTTCCTAAGTGCAAGGGGTTGGGAACTTGGCACAGCTAAAGCCACAGGCCCTGCCCTGCAACACAGTTCTTCAGAAAGCAAATAAAGGGCAAACTCGTTCCACTAATGCAACGTTTCCAAGCTGAGGACACCTTATTCAAAGTCAAAAATGTCCACAATACCCTCACATTTACCACAGAAGAGTAAAAACACGGATCAGTTACAACAATAATAAGTTTCAGAGTAGCAGCCGTGTTAGTCTGTATCCGCAAAAAGAACAGGAGTACTTGTGGCACCTTAGAGACGAACAAATTTGAGCATAAGCTTTCGTGGGCTACAGCCCCCTTCATCGGATGCATAGAATGGAACATATAGTAAGAAGAAATATATATACATACAGATAAGTTAGAAGTTGCCATACAAACTGTGAGAGGCTAATTAGTTATGATGAGCTATTATCAGCAGGAGGAAAAAAAAAACTTTTGTAGTGATAATCAAGATGGCCCATTTAGACAGTTGACAAGAAGGTGTGAGGATACTTAACTTTAGGGAAATATAATAAGCTGTGATAATGTATCTCTATGTGTTTTGAGAGGCTGAAAGTCCTTGACCTTGAAGGGTAAGGGTGTGTACGAAGTGGTCGGGGGAGAGGTTTTCTTTGCTTGATTGGTGTTTAAATGTTAAAGATCTCACATTTCCCACCAGCGGTCACAATCAAATACTGCCCTAACAGGAGCAGCACTGAGCTCACAGGGAACCCCGCACACCAGACAGGTGCAGAATGCTAGCGATAACCTCTCAGATAATCCCTGTGATACCAAAGTGCTCTGCATATGGCATAGGCCAACATTTTCAGACATGAGACCAATGGGAGCTGCAGGCGCTAGGCACCTCTGGGAAGCAGGCCACTTCCACATAGGTGCCTAAATATGGGATTTGGATGTCTGAGGCACCCAAGTTTGAACATTTCAGACTCAATACTGTGCTTACAAGCTACACAGAAAGGGGACCATCATTGGGGGGCAAGGGGGCCACCAAGAGCACACCCCACACCAGCACATCCAGCCATGGGAAGGGAGTTTGGGATAAGGTCACGAAGCGGACAGAAAGCGTCACAGGATCTGTGTCGCCCACACAGACAAGAGAGTGCCTATGTTTCTAAGGGATCATCCTACAGGTGAGCGTACAGTAATTCAAGCACCAAATTTACCCCAGGAGGATGTTACGCTGAGTGGTTTCTGTTGGTTTATCACGTCGGGTTCCAGGGCATCGTTCTAGGTATTTCAAATCCAAGGCTAATCCCATTAAACCCTCACCCCTTCCAGCAATAGAACATGCAACAAAGAACCCCACACTACACAATTAACACCCTTTGCTCTGGCTTGCTCCTGTCAACATCCACCAACCAGCATCTCTCACAATTTCCACAACAGATCACATGGCAGATAGGCCATTTGCGTGTGCCGCTGACGGAAATCCAGATCCCGCCCTCACTGGCCTGGCCCCGGTCAATTGGTACAAGCAGTCATTTCCTGATAATAGACGCAAAGCTAGTTGAGTAGGGAGTGCATATCCACAACACAACTGCTGTGTTAATACGTCAGTCAGTTCAGCAACCGCTAGTCGGTAAGTGACTTACCCTGTTCTCATCATAGATTATCTGCACTAAGCTGCGATGCTTGGACTCAATAGGTGGGGGTGAGATCGGCTTCTCAGGCTCTGGTGGTTTGGCTGCTTCCTCCTCCAACTGTTGCTGTGAAAGGTTGAAAAGAAGAGTGAGTGGTTCAAAACAAGAAACACTCTGGCCATAGGAGACTCTCTCTCTCCAGCACTGTGACAGAAATAGAAAACGTAACCATAAACCATTTCCTGTGAGACATCAACAAGACAAAGGGGCTAACGGAGGGGAGGGTAGAACAACCCTTAAACATTTCATGTTGCCTTAGCCAGGGTGTTTTCTGGCCACAAATTGCATAAAGTGGCCCTCTTAGATCTGGCCTGTGGAGCTCGACTACAGATGCGACGCATAAAAAACAGCTGAATGAAAATTCCATGGAGGAAAAACATTTCTCAGAGCAGCAAAGTTCCTTGTTTATGTCTTAATTTGGAGCTGCACTGTTTACCACGCTCATGTTTTAAGGGGGGGGGTGGGGGGAGTTAAGGGTTATTGGACTCTTTCGGTTTAATAGCCCGCTGCTGATTTCCTAGTTCTTCACCTGAGTGAGATGCCTTCTGTGGCTACGTATTATTATTCTTTTTCTGTTTACAACAGTGCCTCAGAACCTCAGTCAAGCACGAGGCCTCCCTTGTGCTAGGCACTGTACAGCCAAGTATCAAAGACCAAGGGTTTGTCTACACTACCCGCCAGATCGGCGGGCGGCGATCGATCCATTGCGTCTAGACTAGACGCGATAAATCGACACCACCTCCCCCGAGCGCTCTCCCATCGACTCCGGTACCCCACTGCCGCGAGAGGCGCAGGCGGAGTCGACGGGGGAGCGGCAGCTGTCGACTCACTGCAGTGAAGACAGGTCTAAGGTCTAAGTACGTTGACTTCAGCTACATTATTCACCCTCCCTCCCCCCAGTGTAGACCAGGCCTAAGCATCAAAGAGAGGTCACAATCTGGTGTCAGAGAGGACACTGCAGGCAGATGAAACAGACAAACGAGGTGGGGAGGACGAGGTAACACTGGGATGAACCGAGTTTAGCAGAAAGGCAAAAGTCGCAGCTCTTCCACCCAGTGCCAGACGGGAGCGAGCCGCAGGCATCCCTGCAGAGGCAGGATGTAAGGAGGGGTTCCGCCAACCAGGAGACGGGAGCTGTAGGCATCTCAAAGGGGAGTATGTCCCATGCATGAAGGGCAGCACCAGGAGACAGGCCAGAGATGCAGGCGGGAAGCGGGCAGGTAGGCCACAGAGACAAATTTCGCTATTGTATGTTTTAGATATTACTAAGGAGCCCAGAGGCAGGGTGTTAATCATCACTAGGGGGCCGCTTCTCATGGTCAAACGGCCCCACACACTTACTGTACTATCGGTACCTCATACAATTCTAGTAACGTCAGACTGACCCAGGAGCTGCAGCTAAGGGCATCAGCACAAGCCACTTTCTTCAGGGCCTCTACAGACCAACGGCCTGTCTCGGGAAGGCCATTTCCAAATCCCCTTTTCCTTTTCAGTGTTAAATAAAACAAAGGGAATGTATCAGAATCTGGTAAAAACTCAACACCGCAACAGTGGCAAACTAGACAGCACTGAGCAAGGGGCCAGCAACCAGTTCAGACTCCCCTGCCCTGGAGAGAGATCGCAGCTGAATGTACATCTCTTCCTCTGCGGTCCTACATATAAAAGGGGCGTGTGGCCGATCCCTTAGTTCTGAGTCACAGCCTTACCCTGGCTGTGCAGGTGAGGTACCCAAACTCCATCTGCTGAGGGCGATCTGGGCAACCAGCCAGGAGCCCAAAAGCCACACCCAAGTTCCCAGACACGTCCACAGCTTTTACCAACAGCAAAACGAGGGTAACCCTGACAGTCACTTAGACGTGAATGCTCTGAAGACGAAGTGAAGCAGCAGCTTGTTTGAGCTCAGCAGAGATAAAAACCTGCCCTTGGTCAGCTCCTGCAGAGACAGGCAGAGAGTGGCCATGAGCCACATTTTCAGGATGCTGCAGGTGGCACTTGGCTTTTGGGCAGCCCTGCTATGGCGTGGATGCACCTTGGAGAGCGCTAGAGAAAAATTAACTCTGGCACAGCATCAAATCCAACGGTTACAAAAGGAGGGCTGCAAAGGACTCATCAGAAATGATGCTCCTGAACCAGCAAGACGGGGCTCATACTTGGAAACCTAAAAAAAAAAAAGAGAGAGAGAGAGTTGTGCAAAGACTCACAAGTCAATCTGGAAGGGCTTGGCATCAAACCCTAGCGCCCTTAATTATTTAGAAAAACTGGACGCGCACAAGTCCCTGGGACCGGATGCGTTGCATCCGAGAGTGCTAAAGGAATTGTGGATGTGATTGCAGAGCTATTGGCCATTATCTTTGAAAACTCATGGCGATGGGGGAAGTCCCAGAAGATTGGAAAAAGGCTAATGTAGTGCCCATCTTTAAAAAAGGGAAGAAGGATGATCCTGGGAACTACAGGCCGGTCAGCCTCACCTCTGTCCCCGGAAAAATCATGGAGCATGTCCTCAAGGAATCAATTCTGAAGCACTAAGACGAGAGGAAAGTGATCAGGAACAGTCAGCATGGATTCACCAAGGGAAAGTCGTGCCTGACTAATCTAATTGCCTTCTATGATGAGATAACTGGTTCTGTGGATGAAGGGAAAGCAGTGGACGTGTTATTCCTCGACTTTAGCAAAGCTTTTGACACGGTCTCCCACAGTATTCTTGTCAGCAAGTTAAAGAAGTATGGGCTGGATGGATGCACTACAAGGTGGGTAGAAAGTTGGCTAGATTGTCGGGCTCAACGGGTAGTGATCAATGGCTCCATGTCTAGTTGGCAGCCGATATCTAGCGGAGTGCCCCAAGGGTCGGTCCTGGGGCCGGTTTTGTTCAATATCTTCATTAATGATCTGGAGGATGGTGTGGATTGCACCCTCAACAAGTTTGCGGATGACACTAACTGGGAGGAGTGGTAGATACGCTGGAAGGTAGGGATAGCATACAGAGGGACCTAGACAAATTGGAGGATTGGGCCAAAAGAAATCTGATGAGGTTCAACAAGGACAAGTGCAGAGTCCTGCACTTAGGACGGAAGAATCCAATGCACCGCTACAGACTAGGGACCGAATGGCTAGGCAGCAGTTCTGCAGAGAAGGACCTAGGGGTGACAGTGGACGAGAAGCTCGATATAGTCAACAGTGTGCCCTTGTTGCCAAGAAGGCCAATGGCATTTTGGGGTGTATAAGTAGGGGCACTGCCAGAAGATCGAGGGACGTGATCGTTCCCCTCTATTTGACATTGGTGAGGCCTCATCTGGAGTACTGTGTCCAGTTTTGGGCCCCACACTACAAGAAGGATGTGGAGAAATTGTACAGAGCCCAGCGAAGGGCAACAAAAATGATTAGGGGACTGGAACACATGAGTTATGAGGAAAGGCTGAGGGAACTGGGATTGTTTAGTCTACGGAAGAGAAGAATGAGGGGGGATTTGATAGCTGCTTTTAACTACCTGAAAGGTGGATCCAAAGAGGATGGATCTAGACTATTCTCAGTGATAGCAGATGACAGGATAAGGAGTAATGGTCTCAAGTTGCAGTGGGGGAGGTTTAGGTTGGATATTAGGAAAAACTTTTTCACTAGGAGGGTGGTGAAACACTGGAATGCGTTACCTAGGGAGGTGGTGGAATCCCCTTCCTTAGAAGTTTTTAAGGTCAGGCTTGACAAAGCCCTGGCTGGGATGATTTAGTTGGGATTGGTCCTGCTCTGGGCAGGGGGTTGGACTAGATGGCCTCCAGAGGTCCCTTTCAACTCTGTTATTCTATGATTCTATGTCCTGTCCATCCACCTAATTTCTCAGCTGATCTTTCAATCCTGACCAAATACAAAGCTCCATCAATACTATAAAAACAGCAATCCCCAACTACCCCTATCCTTTGACCCACCCCACTGCCCCAAAGCCAGAGGAAATCTATATTATGCCTTGCAGTTTGATCTCAAGACCCAATAACCAAGGCATTTGAAGGACAAAAGGTGGGTTCGATATTCCCTTTTTGGAATATGCCCCAGTCCTGGTCCCCTCCTGTTTAAACCAGGAGACCACTGGCTCAAGTGTCTCCACTGATCTCCCTCCATGGATGCTGCCAGAGTTGTGAAGTGGTTCCCCAACAAGAGGAGGTAAGCCGCTTAAAGCTTTCCAGGTCAGGACCAACATGTTCAACTCCACTTGGGAACTAATCAACAACCCATGTCTTGATGAACTACTTTCCCGTGGGGCTTACAGTGCACTTCTAGTTCTTTGTTCAACTAGAACCACTTCCAAACAGAGCTGGGTCCAAGCAGCAAAGGTCCAGTCCAGATCAGAACTTTCCCAGGGTCGAAGAGTGTTAGGATCCAGGGTTTGGTTCAAGGAATGAAATGCATGCACTATTCTCATAATAGAAAAGATGCCCTTTACAGGCCCCAAAACTACAAAATCCAGGAATTTGAAACAAAAGATCCCCAGATTATCAAACAGAAAACAAAAAACCACAATTTCCATCAGGGAAAGGATTTGGGTAAAATCTCTAGAAATTTTGACAGGTATTTTGGCAGTCCACAAAAAAGTTTCCCGAGTGGTCAAATCTGTTCTAATTGATTTAAGACAGAAGATTTGATGGCAAATCAAGAAATGAATGATTGCCAGTAAGTGGAGGCTCATTAAAAGCAGCTCCTTAAAAGCAAAACCACCACCCCTGCAAATCTAATTATAGCTGAAATACAGTGAAGAATTACAGTCTCTCTACTCTCTGTGGGAGTAATACTGTACAATGATCAAAGGTGCAGGCCCACCAATTAGAGCAAACGGACTAGGGGTTACTTCCCCTCTGTGCTCTCGGAGATTACAAAGATGATCTCAGTCGGTTTAGCCAGCAACAGCGTCTCTTGGAATTTGTGGAAAATGGCAAAGCAAAAGCGGCCAGCATCAAGAGACGGATCTTAAAGGTCTGCCACAAAAACCAGGCCGGGACTGTGACCTTTACAATCAGAAAATCAGGAGGAGTCTTGACGGCGACACGCCAACCCTCCGCTAGCCTGCAACTTCCCTCTTCTGC